GAGGAGACCATTGTCTGACTCCGGATGCGTGGTGAGAGATCAAGAACGCCAGCTCCTCGTAGAGCTGAGAGAGTTGTTACCTGAAGCACGCAGGGGAGGGGGGGGGATGGGAACCTGCATGGGAGTGCGCGAATCGTTGGCGGCAGGATGGATGTTGAAGTCTACGATGATGCTTCCTGGCTGCAGGCCTGAATACCACAGCAGTCATCCACTTTCAAGCAGTAGGAATGAGAGGAGGAGGAGGAGGAGGAGGAGGAGGAGGAGGAGGAGGAGGAGGAGGAGGAGGAGGAGCCTTGGAGGAGGAGGAGGAGGAGGAGGAGTTGCTCGAGCACGGGACAGAATCATCTGACCTGCCATCTGCAAGCACTCGGAAGGGATCCTGAGCACGGCTGCAAGGCTCTCCTGGATCTTCCTTAGGAAATCTTCCTTCTTGCTTCGGTCCTCCGGGTCCGGGATCCACCTTTCCACCCCCACATCAGCCCTCGGGGACCCAGGGTACTACCTCCTCACTTGTTGAAGTCAAGGTCCAGGGTCAGGCTGACGCCCACGGGGTCGAAGGAGAGGTTCCTGTTGAGGAACCTCCTGGTGGCTGTCGAGGAGTACTCTGAGAGCTTCTCTGCTAGCCACTTGACCGTTGCCTGGTCCAGGTTCTCCCTCTGTTGGTCCCTCAGCGCTTCTTGGACGAGCTCGATGGCTGATTGTTCGGACTCGCCGCTGATTGGAGGGAAGTAGAAGGTCTGCAGGCTGATGTTGGACCTAAGGAGGACAAGGATAGGAAAGGAGGAGGAGGATAGAGGAGGAGGATAGAGGGAAAGAGAGCGGTCACATGCTGAGGTTGAAATTGTACAGCTTACTCGTCCTTGATGTCGCATCGGAGCATGGGGAGCGCATAGTCGTCGGCAAGGAAGGGATACCTGTTTGCGACCGCAGGCCAGATGACTTCATCAGCCCGGGTCGCCTTTGCCGGGATGATAATCTTGGTGATCACGGTCAATGAAGGGGATCAGCGGTAAGAGAAGTCTACCTGTCCATGGGCCTTGGCTACCGGGGAAGGAACTTGCTGTTGGAGTCGGATGATGACTTGAAACAAGTTCTCGTTGGCAGGGTCGTTTAGGATCTGCTGACTTGTCAGCGGGAACGTCACGAGTGACTGCGGTCATCCTCACTTTGTCGATCACACTTGAGACTCGGTCGACATTGCGGTTGATCTTGGGCTGTCTGAGAAAATATTCGACGCCTCCGTAGGAGACTGCAAACTCCTCTCCGAGTGTGTCGACTTGGATCCTGCACGACAGGCTGTCAAAGAGAGGTCAGGAGCGAAGGTTGTCAAATACTGCGAGCTGGGAAGACGCTCGGCAAACGCTTTCTGATCTTCTCATGACAGCAGTCAGTTCATGATAAGACCTTTCAACAGCTATACCTTGTTCGCTCCACTCCCAGCCGTGCGAGGGAGAGAGGATCTCATTCCTGCTGCTGAGCGTCGTGACATCGGGCCCAGTCTGCACCTCTTGACTTCTCGTCGTCACATGCCCTCGTCGGACTTTGATCAGCGGGAGGTCTTTTTCCTCCGGGCGATGAGGAGCGTTTGAGGTGGCAGCGAATGCATCGTCGCCGGCGAGGGAGAGAAGGTCTAGCTTGCGAGGGCGACTCTCCTGCTGCTTCTCCCCCTGCATGATGTGCGGCCTTACAAACTTGTCGATGTTGAACTGGATCTGTTCCACCAATGTGTCAACACGACAGGATCGCAAACACGACCACCAATGCAGCGATCAAAGGCACCACAGGCTTTCTCATGCACACCTGAGAGATCTCCATCGGAGGAACGATAGTGTTGAGGGCAACCTCCATCTGATCTACAGTGCTGGCCTCGGAGATTCTTCCCTCAAGAGCATTCTGCTCAACGCTCGTGAACAACTGAGGCAGGAGAAGCGAGGAAGGGATCACCTTGATCGACACAAAGAGGGCTGCGCAGACCTTGGGTAGGGAAGTTTTCCCGAAGATGAAGATCAGATCCCAGAGGAACAGGGTGACTTCCAGCCTGCAGAAAGACAAAACAGACGTGTATCAAATCAAACAGCGCCACAAGCATCAGTGCAGCTAATCTCGACATCATATCACACTATGATCATCTCAACCGATAACATCCTAGCTCTTACCTCACGAAAACTCCAGTGAACATCCTTTGAACGAGCGGTAAGAGCAGCAAGCTCAGTCCTCCATGCACTTTCATATCCTTTGTCTTTCTCAGATCCCAGATCTTGTGCTTGCTGTGGTGAACGAGGCTGGAACCCCCAGCTCTCTGCCCAGCAAAGTGCTCGCTCGACGCAACCTTGCTGACCAGCTGATAATACTTCTCGTCCTCCTTGCGGATCATCACGGAGACCTGGAGCTCTCAGTCAAGACACATAGACATTCCATCATCTCAAGGCACCTCATCCACAAATTCCCTCCACGCGTTCTGCTGCTGTGCGCTCTCCGGCTTGCACGTGTCCTCATTCATGAACTCGCTCAGCCCCGTACCCTCCTGCTCGTCCGGTCACAAGGACTCTGCGATGCTCGAGGAGAGCTACCTTCATTGCTACGAAGTAGTCAAGGAGCCCCTGCGGCCTCATCCCCTCCCTCAGAAGATCAGAGCTCGTGTCTGCAGGCACCATGGTTGCCACCAGCGGAACGACAGCGAACAACCAGGGCGTCACTAAGTCGACCTTGCTGCTTGCTGTGAGGTGTGATATGACTGCAATGATGGCGTTCAGACATGCAAGGGAAGGTCAAGTCATTGTCTACCTGTTTTCATCAGGTTTGCCCTTTTCGTGACGTTCCTGACCCCCAGCTCATTCAGCAGCTCGCTGCACATTGTCCACAACTACAAGGCTCGTCAACGATGACAACAAGGTCAGATCACCCTCTCCTTCCATCTCCCACACCTCTGCATCATTCGCGGCGATCTTCAGCGCAACGTCCCCTGAGCTATTCCGAAGGCTCCCTCGGAGGTACATGCCCCAGACCTGAACCCGCAATGCTGCAGGAAGTCCGTAGAAGCTCAGATGCCGCAGGATGTCGAAACGGTCTGGCCATCGCTCAAGAATGGTGCCTGAGATGTTGCCAGCGATGTTCACAAGAATCTCCATCTTGCCAAGAGTCGAGCCTGGCTTGTTCGAATCCCTGATCGACTGCTCTTGCATGTACCTTTCCGTGATATGTTCAGCCTTGTGAACGAGGCTCTGGTAAGCATCGCTCTCGGGAAGAAACTCGTCTTCAATGGATGAGAACAAGGCAGACCTCTGCTCTTGGCTGAGATCAGAGAAGATGCTTCTCCCGTTGGTGACCACTCTTTCCTTCATCTCCTCCAGAATGATGGAGACGAGCTCTTCCCATTCTTCGGAGTCTTCGAATGACTCTTTGAAGGTGTCAAGCCCTCGTGCTGTCATCTCCTTGCGGGCTCAGGCAGTTTCATCCTCCCCAGCTGCCATGCCAGCTACCCTTGCAAGCACGCGCCCGCCCAACTCCTGCCATGTTTGCTCCCTCAGAAACCATGGCATGCAACCAACGATAGACCGAGCAAGCTCACCTCGCGACGAGGGACCGGGGCGATTGATGACTCGGCGTCGGATCTCGTCAGTGCCGGTGGCACCCCGGCCGCCCGGGCCGCGCCGCCGGGCGGCCCGCCAGTCGGACTCCCGGAGTCCGGGAGACCGCTCAGTCCGCCGGAGCCCACCTCAGTGTACGGTCCGAGGCCTGGCCTTCACTCAAAGTGAGGTGTCACATAACAGAGCCGAAAACGGATCATGATGGTATTCCGAAGTTCTTCATCCCGAGTCCCTGGAAGTCCGGCAACTTCAGCATCGAGCTCGCACTGCTGGGTCTAGCCGTCTTCCTTGCAGGAGAGGCTTGCGCTTCTGCTGGGTCTAGCCGTCTTCCTTGCAGGAGAGGCTTGCGCTTCTGCTCTTTGTCCTGAACATGCCGTCGCTCCGATGTGGTGGGAGTAAAGGTTTTCGCATCCTCCTCTTTTCCCATTTTTCTGTTGAGGCGAATTTGTTGCCATTCCCTTTCGACAGTCTGGTTCGAAGCCAGCATCACTGCCGCGGCTCCAGGAATATGATCCTGCCCAAGTGGTGAGAGCGCGAGGTGCGCTATGCCACGGCCCCCAGGATAACTTAGTCGTTCTCGCATCGCACTGCGGAAGCTGAACCAAGTGGGAGGCGAACAGACTATCGGGGAGCACGCCGATCAAATCGTTTATTGCACACCAATATACATTGAAGCCTTCTTCCCTCCCCTCTTCACGCCTCGCGTCCCCCCTGCTCTCGTCTACCTCTGCGATCGCCCGCTGCCTCTCCTCGAGCTTCCTCCGCGCAGCAAGGATGTTCTCCAGACAGCTCCCCTTGCTCGCCTTGACGATGCCCGGCGGCTGTCTCGGGAGGGCTGGAGCTTGGGGGAGGAGGGGCAGGTCTCCGGCTGATCTCTTGCAGGGGAGGGCGACGGGGAGCGTGCGGGGAGGAGGGGAGGGAGCGGCGGAGAGGGAGACCTCGGACCAGAGAACGGTTACAGGGCGCATGGCGTGCGAGAGGCAAGGAAGGGGGAAGGCAGAGCGAGGACAGGCTGGACGAGGGAGAGGCCGAGGTGATGGACAAGACGAGGCTGGAGAGGAGGGGGCGGGAGAGAGCAGCGAGTCGGAGCCTGATGAAGGAGTCGAAGGGAAGTAACTCCGGTATGGACATGCAAGTGACACGGACCTGGCACGGATGTTGGATCCGGGATACGAAACGATGTATCTGTAGATATCTGGTTGGGAAGGGGGTTGCTGACGGAGACATATGGATTCGAACTGAGAGGATTTCGCGGCATTGCAACGAAGGCCCTGGGCACGGACCTGCAGTGACGAACGTAGATATGGAGGTCTGTATTTTGAGATCTTGGTAGTCAAGTCAGCAACCTCTTGGGAACATCAACTTTTTATGTCAGCATTCTGCCGCTACAGGTTGTCGATGGGATGTTTCCGAATGGCAGACTCGGACGTGATCGTCCGACTGTATTGTCATGGTCCATTTACCGCACTATGCTTACCACGTCAGGCCACCGCCCCGGTCGATCAACCAGTCTCCAGGAACTCCCGGACCAAGGAAGTGTACGGTGTACTTTACCGACTCGAGTGATGCCGGCGGCCCCGACCTGGGCCCGGCGCTCAGGCTGGCCGCGCGACGGAGCTGTCAGTTGAAGCACCGATTCATGACTTGTCATGCTGATTCAAGGCGCCACAGTCTGAAGGTCGGCGTGTCCCATGCGAGCATGGCTCGCTGTACGGAGTTGTATGCGATGTTCGTGGAGCACTGCGATTCGTCTCGGACAACTTCAAGCAGAGCCTAAGTGGTATGTGTTCACTGCTGCACCACAGGCACTCAAACTTCATGTCAGGAGGATCCAGCGGCAAAACTTCGTCATCGAAGCGATACTCTAGTTATATTGTACAGCCATCAGCACATAGCAAGACAAGCAAGACCCTCGGCTCACATGGATCTTTATTTACAAGCGCTATGTACATTTCCCGCCTATCGTCCCCTCCCCTCCTCACGCCTCGCGTCTCCCCCTACTCTCGTCTACCTCTGCGATCGCCCGCTGCCTCTCCCCGTGCTTCCTCCGCGCAGCAAGGATGTTCTCCAGACAGCTCCCCTTGCTCGCCTTGACGATGCCCGGCGGCTGTCTCGGGAGGGCTGGAGCTTGGGGGAGGAGGGGAAGGTCTCCGGCTGATCTCTTGCAGGGGAGGGCGACGGGGAGCTTGCGGGGAGGAGGGGAGGGAGCAGCGGAGAGGGAGACCTCGGACCAGAGAACGGTGACAGGGCGCATGCAAGACGAGGCTGGAGAGGAGGGGGCGGGAGAGAGCAGCGAGTCGGAGCCTTATGAAGGAGTCGAAGGGAAGTAACTCCGGTATGGACATGCAAGTGACACGGACCTGGCACGGACGTTGGATCCGGGATACGAAACGATGTATCTGTAGATATCTGGTTGGAATGGGGGTTGCTGACGGAGACGTATGGATTCGAACTGAGAGGATTTCGCGGCATTGCAACGAAGGCCCTGGTCACGGACTAGCTGCTGCTTACAGCCGTCAGCAACCTCTTGGGAACATCACTGCGAAGGAGGTCCGTGTGATAGGGACGTTTTATGTCACAGACGCCTCCGTAAAGACGCCGCCGGATGCGAAGGTTGTTAGTAGATGAAAAGTGGTGGAGTCCGTGCTATGTATGAAGTCTTACGAGGAATCGTTGTACTTTTACTCTGTTCCAGGAACATGAGATATGCTCTAGTAGTGAGAGGCTTGCGCCGTGACTCACTTCGGAACAAGTCCGTCACGAGGCTGACAATGATGTCCTTGTGACTATCCTCGACTGACCTCTTGAAGGAGACTCGTGCTCTGGTCTGCCTCCTGCCACCAGCTTCATGCGCTCCCTCACCATCCGCTGGTCCGAGGTCTCTGTCTCCGCCGCTCCTCATCCCCGCTGTCCCTTCTTGCGCGCTGTCGCTCCAGCTGGCCCCGCATGTAGGAGAAGAGCGGACGAGTCTAAGGGGAGCATGACGTCCACGAGCTGCCTTGAGAACATTCTAGCGGCGAGGAGAAAACATCAGGAAAAGCATCAAGCCCTTCGAACGTCCAAGCACGAGCAAGGGAAGAAAGTGGGTTCAGAGATGGATAGCCGAGGACGGGGAATGGACACGACGACATGTAAATGCTAGAATGTAAATAAACTCTTTGCACTTAAAGACAGAAAGACATCATATCTCCCAAGAAGAGCCAAATACAGTCAACCTGAGCTTCATGCCTCCCTGTGCTTATTTCCAAGATGCCGCTATCAGCTTGTCCAATGCCATACCAGGTCTTATTTTTTATCATCTTGACGAGCTCGTGGGAAAGCAAGAGTAATGTTTTTCTTGTTGGTCATCAGTCGATGAGATCTTCTTTCCTCTTCAGAGAATCTCACGCCGCAGATGATCTTAGTATGTCAACAGGATCATCAAACTGCAGATAGCAGACTGAGGTACCAGGCGGTTTGCACCATGCTGCCATCCCTCCTCCTCCTCATCATCAACTGTCCGCATTCTTGAGCAGCTGAGGTGTCTCTTTCCAAAGAGGGAACAACCCTCGTGAGTCGTTCTCCTGGAATCTGTTCCGCACGCTGTCGATGCCTTGCGCCCTGTTGACTTTCCCTGTCTGCAGGCACATAAGAGGAGTGTCGTGATGCTTGTCTCTCCTCCACGGGTCAGCCTGGTGCTCCAGCTGGACCTTGACTACATCTCTCTGCCCGTAGTAGGACGCAATGTGCAGCGTTGCCGAATTTCTTTTCCCTCACCTTCACGTCCACTCCAAACTTGGACAGGAGCAACTTAGCCTCGGATCTTTGGTCTGCCGTACTTAGCCGAAACATGAAGGTGAGGAGCGTTTTCAGATGTTTGCAGAGCTTCTGATCCTCATGGATACTTGCATCACTCACTACCTTCAACCACAAAAACCTGCACATGGTGCTGCACATGGTGCTGTATTCTTGCAGGAAGCTTTTCATGTGCATGTTGAAGTCGTCACTGTTGCCCTCATTTCCGGTGACGATAACTTCGTAGTCGATCTGTTCATCTTCAGAGTCACCGGCATCGCTCACTTCAGACTGACTGACTGTCTCCTCATCCGAGAGCTCACTCTTGTCTCCTGCTGGGGAGCAAAGGTGCGCTGTGCATACTGACATCTCCCTCATTTGCCTTAAATAGTTTTCCACCACCTACTCACAATTCATATTCGAAAGATATCGAGCCATCTTCGCGAGCCAGTCCTCGTTAAGGGATGAAGTCACTGGTGTTGCTTCTTCTCCCTGTATTGCTTCTCCATCTTCTTCCATCTCTTCTGCCTCCTCCTCAGGCCTTGAAAGACAGAAAGCTGAAGCATCTCAATGACCGTACAACTTGTACCCACTGAACATCTTCTTGCTTTAGCCATGGAAGTCGACAAAGATTGATGTCCGACAAGACCGTCATACAATTTCTCTGTGAACTCAATCGCTTTATCATCTTCCAAGCCTCCTTTGTGTCCGATCGAAAAGTCAACAATCTTTGCCAGTTTCCTTTTATGTTCGTTGGAAGCACATGCGTTGAACACCACCAGCTGCGCTTGGGCAGCTCCCTCCTTCTCTGCCTGCAGATTGTGAGCACTGACAGCGTCCATGATGGTTTCAGAAACGACAATATTTCGGAAGAGGCCGATTGCTTCATTCCCTGCATGGCAACTGAAGTGAAGAATGAGAGGATGGCGATTATTGAAGTCTGTGCCGCTCAGGATGGCATGAACGTAACGGATACCTCCACTTAACTGCGCGCAGGACAATTCCCCCGCCCCATGCCAGGAGGCCTTGAGCTGACGAAAGATCCTGGACCGGATGCGTTTACAAGTCGGATCACCTGAGACGTCTTGCGAGGCCGTGAGACCATCCAGCGCTGCCGTTTCCTTGTTCGCCGAGCGATCCGCCAACCACCACAGAAAGCGCATCCTGCAAGAGGCCATCAGTGCTGGCGATGATGGGAAGAAAGGCCTTTGGCGGGACGTGCTGAGCATATGCATTACGATGCCCTCGGATCTTCCGCTGTGCTGCTGATTTCAGTTTGCTCCGAGCGAGGTCCGGTATTCAGTCCATCATTGTCAAAAACAAGTGACATGCTGAAGTCCAGGATTAACCCATGCCATCCACCTCCAGTCTCCTGCAGTTGCGAAAGTACTGATATGTCTCAAGGGAGGAAAGAGGAAGCCTCTCGCTCCCTCCCGGCCGGCGGAGTCCGACTCGGAACTCAGCGGCGGGCCGCCATATGTCAACGTCAAGTGCGGCCGCGGCCGCCAAGCCTTGAAGGGTGGCCCGGGCCCGGGCCCGGGGGGGAGGGGACTGAGTGAGCGTTCGAAACGGACTCGGAACGAGCGTGACGGGCCCGGGGCCTTGCTGGGCCCTCAGCATGTCGCACCTGTCATGCGTTGCTGACGACCCAGTGACTTTGGGCTAGTGCTAACCACACGGGGTATCCTCTATCACCGCTTCAAGTGTCTGAGTGAAAGAGTCTGATACAGGATATTTTATGTCAGCGACCTCGTGACCGTTTGAGTCTATAGTGATAGGCTACCTTCGGACCATCTGTCCGACCATTCTAGAATCTCCGGACGTGGCCTCCGTGTGAGCTTTGATGCCACTCGGGCTCAATGTTCCTCTAAACTCGTCGCCGGATGTTTACTACAGTGACTGATGATTCCAAAAACGGTCACGAGGTCGCTGCGTGACCAGGCAGAGCCGCATTCCCCTTGACTTCTTCAACCACTCCGCTGCACCTCAACTTCCCCTCAACCACCAGCGCCGCCAAGACTCGCCATGCGCCCTGTCACCGTTCTCTGGTCCGAGGTCTCCCTCTCCGCCGCTCCCTCCCCTCCTCCCCGCGCGCTCCCCGTCGCCCTCCCTTGCAAGAGATCAGCCGGAGACCTGCCCCTCCTCCCCCAAGCTCCAGCCCTCCCGAGACAGCCGCCGGGCATCGTCAAGGCAAGCAAGGGGAGCTGTCTGGAGAACATCCTTGCTGCGCGGAGGAAGCTCGAGGAGAGGCAGCGGGCGATCATCGGATTGCAGAGGTAGACGAGAGTAGGGGGAGACGCGAGGCGTGAGGAGGGGAGGGGACGATGGGCATGTACATAGCGCTTGTAAATAAAGATCCATGTGAGCTGAGATCGTGAGCGACAGGACATGCAGCACGGCACTCCACCAGAGTTGAGCGATGCCATTGCAGACAGCCGTGCAGACGGAGATGGCAGGAGCCCTGACTTGTTTGTACCTTGTTGAGCAGGAACGTCATTCATTGTCCGTGACTTTGAGTCAGTCGACGATGAGGCGTCTCAAGATGTGGAGACACGAGAGGGATAAGAAGCTTTCCGTTTTTGAAAGCGACGTTGGTTTTGTGTGCATGATCTTCAATTGTTTTCTTCCTTGACGGAAACACAATCGAAGAGAGCAACTCACTTGCGTTGGTTCGGAGAGTCAAGCTTCTTTTATCAGAACACTTGCGAAATGAACTCCACTCAGACAAGATGATACTCGCATCATTCAGCATATGCAAATTTGGACTCGGAACGAGCGTGAGGGCCCGGGGCCTTGCTGGGCCCTCAGCATGTCGCACCTGTCATGCGTTGCTGACGACCCAGTGACTTTGGGCTAGTGCTAACCACACGGGGTATCCTCTATCACCGCTTCAAGTGTCTGAGTGAAAGAGTCTGATACAGGATATTTTATGTCAGCGACCTCGTGACCGTTTGAGTCTATAGTGATAGGCCACCTTCGGACCATCTGTCCGACCATTCTAGAATCTCCGGACGTGGCCTCCGTGTGAGCTTTGATGCCACTCGGGCTCAATGTTCCTCTAAACTCGTCGCCGGATGTTTACTACAGTGACTGATGATTCCAAAAACGGTCACGAGGTCGCTGCGTGACCAGGCAGAGCCGCATTCCCCTTGACTTCTTCAACCACTCCGCTGCACCTCAACTTCCCCTCAACCACCAGCGCCGCCAAGACTCGCCATGCGCCCTGTCACCGTTCTCTGGTCCGAGGTCTCCCTCTCCGCCGCTCCCTCCCCTCCTCCCCGCGCGCTCCCCGTCGCCCTCCCTTGCAAGAGATCAGCCGGAGACCTGCCCCTCCTCCCCCAAGCTCCAGCCCTCCCGAGACAGCCGCCGGGCATCGTCAAGGCAAGCAAGGGGAGCTGTCTGGAGAACATCCTTGCTGCGCGGAGGAAGCTCGAGGAGAGGCAGCGGGCGATCATCGGATTGCAGAGGTAGACGAGAGTAGGGGGAGACGCGAGGCGTGAGGAGGGGAGGGGACGATGGGCTGGACATGTACATAGCGCTTGTAAATAAAGATCCATGTGAGCTGAGATCGTGAGCGACAGGACATGCAGCACGGCACTCCACCAGAGTTGAGCGATGCCATTGCAGACAGCCGTGCAGACGGAGATGGCGGGAGCCCTTTCTTGTTCTTGAGTGATAAGAAGCTTTCCGTTCGAAAGTGGGTTTGTGTGCATGATCTTCAATTGTTTTCTTCCTTGACGGAAACACAATCGAAGAGAGCAACTCACTTGCGTTGGTTCGGAGAGTCAAGCTTCTTTTATCAGAACACTTGCGAAATGAACTCCACTCAGACAAGATGCTACTCGCAGGGAAGGATAGCACTGAAAGATCGGGCTTGGATCAGGAGCAGAAGAGTGCCTGAAGCGAGAGTTTGCACGAGGCGAGTGGAGCAAAGAGCACTAGTTCTAGTCTGTCACACCCCGAAGCTTGACGGGTTGCAGACATCTACTGCGAATACTCAAGGCAACTCCTCTAGATCACACATACTAAAATAAACGTGGCATACAACTTGGGGAGAGAACGGAAAGATTCGTTGTAGATCGCTGCATCCTGTCAAGCTTCTGGGTGATACATTTCCTTGGTTTCGACTTATTTTTCGCTTACAAGCTGAATGGCCACTAATGGCATCAATCACGAGAAAGATATTACCGAAACTGATCTCCTCCTCATTCTTCGAATGGGGAGGAAATACTGCGATCATTCCTAGGGTTGAAATTCGGAAGAGCTATCATCGCCGTGCATGCTAACGTACTGATATGCAGATAGTATCCCTGCTGTTGATTTTTCGACCCCTGTATCATCCAGTATGTGCCTATCTCGATCTCAGCTCACATGGATCTTTATTTACAAGCGCTATGTACATGTCCAGCCCATCGTCCCCTCCCCTCCTCACGCCTCGCGTCTCCCCCTACTCTCGTCTACCTTTGTGATCGCCCGCTGCCTCTCCTCGAGCTTCCTCCGCGCAGCAAGGATGTTCTCCAGACAGCTCCCCTTGCTCGCCTTGACGATGCCCGGCGGCTGTCTCGGGAGGGCTGGAGCTTGGGGGAGGAGGGGCAGGTCTCCGGCTGATCTCTTGCAGGGGAGGGCGACGGGGAGCGCGCGGGGAGGAGGGGAGGGAGCGGCGGAGAGGGAGACCTCGGACCAGAGAACGGTGACAGGGCGCATGGCGTGGCAGGAGGAAGGAGGAAGGGGCGGAGTGACAGCAGGCATCTGTTAGGCATCTTTTGAAGGAGCCAAAGGGGCCCGGTCACGCGGAGAAATGGGATATTTTATGTCAGCGACCTCGTGACCGTTTGAGTCTATAGTGATAGGCTACCTTCGGACCATCTGTCCGACCATTCTAGAATCTCCGGACGTGGCCTCCGTGTGAGCTTTGATGCCACTCGGGCTGGTGTAAACTGTAAGATGGATGGGTCGCCGGATGTTTACTACAGTGACTACTCCAAAAACGGTCACGAGGTCGCTGACATAAAATATCCCATTTCTCCGCGTGACCGGGCCCCTTTGGCTCCTTCAACAGATGCCTGCTGTCACTCCGCCCTTCCTCCTTCCTCCTGCCACGCCATGCGCCCTGTCACCGTTCTCTGGTCCGAGGTCTCCCTCTCCGCCGCTCCCTCCCCTCCTCCCCGCGCGCTCCCCGTCGCCCTCCCCTGCAAGAGATCAGCCGGAGACCTGCCCCTCCTCCCCCAAGCTCCAGCCCTCCCGAGACAGCCGCCGGGCATCGTCAAGGCAAGCAAGGGGAGCTGTCTGGAGAACATCCTTGCTGCGCGGAGGAAGCTCGAGGAGAGGCAGCGGGCGATCGCAGAGGTAGACGAGAGTAGGGGGAGACGCGAGGCGTGAGGAGGGGAGGGGACGATAGGCGGGACATGTACATAGCGCTTGTAAATAAAGATCCATGTGAGCTGAGATCGTGAGCGACAGGACATGCAGCACGGCACTCCACCAGAGTTGAGCGATGCCATTGCAGACAGCCGTGCAGACGGAGATGGCAGGAGCCCTGACTTGTTTGTACCTTGTTGAGCAGGAACGTCATTCATTGTCCGTGACTTTGAGTCAGTCGACGATGAGGCGTCTCAAGATGTGGAGACACGAGAGGGATAAGAAGCTTTCCGTTTTTGAAAGCGACGTTGGTTTTGTGTGCATGATCTTCAATTGTTTTCTTCCTTGACGGAAACACAATCGAAGAGAGCAACTCACTTGCGTTGGTTCGGAGAGTCAAGCTTCTTTTATCAGAACACTTGCGAAATGAACTCCACTCAGACAAGATGATACTCGCATCATTCAGCATATGCAAATTTGGACTCGGAACGAGCGTGAGGGCCCGGGGCCTTGCTGGGCCCTCAGCATGTCGCACCTGTCATGCGTTGCTGACGACCCAGTGACTTTGGGCTAGTGCTAACCACACGGGGTATCCTCTATCACCGCTTCAAGTGTCTGAGTGAAAGAGTCTGATACAGGATATTTTATGTCAGCGACCTCGTGACCGTTTGAGTCTATAGTGATAGGCCACCTTCGGACCATCTGTCCGACCATTCTAGAATCTCCGGACGTGGCCTCCGTGTGAGCTTTGATGCCACTCGGGCTCAATGTTCCTCTAAACTCGTCGCCGGATGTTTACTACAGTGACTGATGATTCCAAAAACGGTCACGAGGTCGCTGCGTGACCAGGCAGAGCCGCATTCCCCTTGACTTCTTCAACCACTCCGCTGCACCTCAACTTCCCCTCAACCACCAGCGCCGCCAAGACTCGCCATGCGCCCTGTCACCGTTCTCTGGTCCGAGGTCTCCCTCTCCGCCGCTCCCTCCCCTCCTCCCCGCGCGCTCCCCGTCGCCCTCCCTTGCAAGAGATCAGCCGGAGACCTGCCCCTCCTCCCCCAAGCTCCAGCCCTCCCGAGACAGCCGCCGGGCATCGTCAAGGCGAGCAAGGGGAGCTGTCTGGAGAACATCCTTGCTGCGCGGAGGAAGCTCGAGGAGAGGCAGCGGGCGATCATCGGATTGCAGAGGTAGACGAGAGTAGGGGGAGACGCGAGGCGTGAGGAGGGGAGGGGACGATGGGCTGGACATGTACATAGCGCTTGTAAATAAAGATCCATGTGAGCTGAGATCGTGAGCGACAGGACATGCAGCACGGTACTCCACCAGAGTTGAGCGATGCCATTGCAGACAGCCGTGCAGACGGAGATGGCGGGCGCCCTGACTTGTTTGTACCTTGTTGAGCAGGAACGTCATTCATTGTCCGTGACTTTGAGTCAGTCGACGATGAGGCGTCTCAAGATGTGGGGACACGATGAGCACGAATGGAAGCTGTCAGCTGGAAATGAGATGTAGGAATGGCTCGATATCGGATCACTTTCTATCGATCTGAATTGCATTCATTTTGTTTTGTTGGTAACCTCGAAGGTCTTGATGACTAGTCTTCGTTGTCCATGTTTCATGTGAATTATTTCTTTTTGGGCTTGCCTTTTTGCTTCATTTTGCTGTCACTCTTCTTGCTCTTTCGCCTGGAATATCATCTGCATTAAACAAAGCAAACGCAGCATGCTTGTCAAATACCAACCTTTTCTGCTGCCATTTCTTGAAATCTTCCATTGCTTTCTTGTCTCGCTCCTTAAATCTGCAGCAAGATTAATTTCCAGCCATTAGTTGGAGGCTGGACTTACTTCCCAACCTTGTTGTAGTATTGCACTTCCTGTACATCACCATAAAAACCACAAAGTGTGCCAACCGATGCTGTCACCTTAAGCTTAGCCTGACGCTGTGAGGTTTCCCAATCGTGTTGCGCATTGATGGCTTCAACAGAATCGGATCTGCGAACAAGAGAATGAAGATACCCTGGGGGATTTTCATAACTTACACATCTGCAATCTTCTTCCATCGAGCAATTTCCTTCTTTTCCTCTGGCGTCATCCGATGCATGGGCTCATCTTTTCCATCCCCTCCCCCTTTCTCTCTCGCCAGTGTCTCAAGCTTGGAGCGAAATTCTTTTGTTTTCTTTTTCCTGCATCGTTAATGTTACTCAACTTATCATGGTTGAAGATATGCAATCAGTACTTTGTAGAAGTTGAATTGCTTGACTCGAGATCTCCAGGATATGGTGCCAGCTCATCCCAGTCTCCGCGGCAACCACAATACCTTCTACACTTCGAATACCCGTTTGCAAGATCTTCCCAGACATCATCGTCCATTCTTGGGCCAGGCACCTGATGGGATTCAAAACAAGTTCAAGGCGCATCTTATATTGCGAATATCAGGGAAGCAATACGTCAATTTTCATTATGTGCTCGGAGAAATCTTGGCCGGTAAGCTGCTGAAGCAAGCGAGCGGCCCATGTTCGAGCTGGCGCAATGTCCTTTTGTGCCTCTAAAACTCTCTTGGCGAGCTGGATAGCACCTGCAAAACAACTCATTCAAGGAATTTTTGGCTCAGTTTGAAGGTTCACACCATTATCAATTATCAGAGATCTGAGTTTGCCAGGCAATTCACTAAGGAAGGATAACGCAGCGCACCCTTGTTCTCCCACATTGAATCTGGAGAAGGCTCAGACTCATGAGGGTTGTGCAAAGCCAGACAATACCCTTCTCTCTCATATTCATGCGCATGCCCGAAGTTGTGTAATGCCTTGATGATTCTTTCAACGCCGCCGCTCTCAGCCACTGCACTCATATATCATCCGATCGGATAGAAAGTTCTCTTGTCACCTTTGCCTGCAAGAGCCAAGTTCACTTGAAGTTTACCACCAGCTGGACAGCCCGCGTACTCCAGTCCATAAGTGATATGCGTTTCATTCACCACTTTGACCAGAAATGTCCAGATGAAGATGCAGCCGGCCTCCTGCGGCACCATCACGAACAAGGCAGCGAGGAGCCTGTGAATTTCTCACCTGGACATGAACGCTTTTTTCATGCTTTGCCATTGCACTCAACACTGTCTCGACTACGCGATTCTCCACGGCCAACTTTGTTCAAGGTCAGTTTGCAGCCACCTTCCTAGCACGTCCTCACCAAACAGTTGGAAGAGTGGTTGAAAACAAGGTTGGACAGAGCTCTGATCCCTGTGCTCTGTATGTCTGCATTTCCCTCGTGCCGTTTCATGGCTTGAACAAACAATGGGAAGGCCCCTAACTTTCCTAATAGGTTCTGTTCGCACGTTACGAAATGCTCAACAGGCTGTTGACAACATGCCTGGTTTATCATGTGAGCCCAACCGTCCACTCCATACGGAGGTCTTGGTTGTGCATACGCCAAATTCGTCGCTAGACGAAGTCCCTCGAGCACGATCTTTGCAGAGTGGAGGTGGACCTGACAAACAACGTAAATCTATGGTACCTTTGAATTCGCGCTACCTTCAAAGTTTCCACGAGCGCCTCACAGCCATTCTTGTTCTTTCCTATCCTGTATTGCTTTTCTCCATCCAGACAGATTAAAGACAGAGCATTGAAAGCTTTGTACACGACATGCGGGTCCTTGGTCTTATCCTGCAAGTTCTGAAGGTGGATAGAGCTTGCTCTCTTGCACCGTGGGCTCACAGGGGGGACTTTAAATGGAACCACCTTCTTGGCCCCCCCCCGAAGATTCAAGTTACTTCCAGTGTTGATTGTGAACAGGCCACAATGGCAGGCTTGCAAGGAGACAAGGAGCAACAAGGTCAAGCCTTTCATCACAGATACCGCCGTTTTTCAACGTCAATTATGCTCGCCAACAACTCTAGCGCAGTCAAGCTGTGCCTGGTCCCATATCAAGGCACAGGGATCGTTACCATGAGCTTTGTTTATCCTTTCCGCTTCCTCTCTCTCTTCCTCGTCCCCTCCTCTTATCCTCTTCTTCTCTTCTCCTACTACCTGGCTCTGCCATGCCGATCTGCGGACGCATCGATCATGTGTAGGCCCTCTTCCCCAGAAGGCCCGGGCCAACCGGCAGCGTCAAGTCCGAGTGCTGCCTCCGACTGATCACTATTGACAAATCTTGTGTGCCGGCCCCCACCTGCTTCTCGCGCGTTCACGAGGAACGCACAGGGACGGAGGTTCCGCTCAGCTCACGGCAAGAAAGAGAAAACCCCCGACACTGATCGATCAGACTTCTGGGGGATCAAAGCAGCGACCTGTCTTGGGCGAGAGTAGAAGCCAAGGATTTCAGTGTCTCTATCGTCGTGTAGTAGGGACTCGTGAACATGTCCGATCAAGCCAACCAAGCTTCCCACACAGCCGAGAGCACCATCCCATCTGGAGCGAGGAAGATGACCGATCAAGAACGAACAGAACATGTTGCTAACGTGATAGAAGCTCTCACGAAGCAGGTGATGTATTGATTTGCACTTGCAGCAATGGCTGTCTAACATGTTGCAGGGCTTGGCGATGTCCAATCTTCCCGAGGACATCAAAGGGAAGCTTGATGACTTCGTAAAGAATGGCTCTGCCTGTGAGCTGCAGATTCCAACCCCCAAGGGTTTTGTTTATTGCAAGTTGACAAATCTGATAGACAAGTGAATCTTGATTAGTCTAGTCATCGCCAGGGTACCCGAGGACACGGATTTGGTAGACCTTTATTGCTTCCTTGCTCAGCTTTACATTTGGTTACTGTACAAAAAACAACCCCGGCACATGTATGTCAGGGCACCTATGAATCTACTGCAGCACTCTGCAAGTCCACAACCTCACTCTCGGGAATTAGAGGGTCGCTGTTGTCTTGAACGACAACGGCAAGAGCCTTGTGGTCACTGACATCATCAGGAAGCACGCAGAATTTCCGTACAGCAAGGTTTGTCAGGATATGATCCAGGCAAACGTTGAATTCGACTCCTCTCCATCCTATTTTTTTTTCGTAAGGAACTCATGGAAGGATATACACATGCGATGGAACAGTCACCTGGAGGAGTGAGGAAAGAATGTGTGTTGTACGTAGGTTCGAAATCTGGAGCCCCGACACTGTCAATCCCAAAGGTTCGGACAATGTGGGCATATTCGTCCGAGCCGCCCACGCTGAAACGCAGTCAGGCATGTATCGGAGATGCACCATATTGAATTCACTCACATGTTGAGATCACCTCCTACAAGCCACAAGCCATCTTTCTGCGAGTAATACATCAGCAACTTTGGCTGAAGCACATGTACCATTCGGAGCTTACCTTGACTGTCCTATCAACGAAACTCTTCAATTCATTCAACTGTTGTTCACGAACAGTGCCGCAACTCATTTCGCTTCTTTCCTCCAGCATCTTCACAACGCTGATCCCTATGCCGTTGTCTAGACTGTCCCCTGATTCCAAATCACATGTGCCACTTGGACCTGAAGATTGCATCAATTCCGTAGGAGGTGCTGTATCACACTGAAAGTGAGTAGTAAAAAGATGCAGTAGATTTCCAGACGGTAGCTTGCAGGCAGCATGCAAAGCTCCATTGGGAACCATTTTTTGCCAGCCAGCAGTGCTCCTGAAAATGACCTCGCTCGCATGCTGGATTGGATATCTACTAATGATGACGTTTCCAGTATCGAAAAAGAATCCAACAGGAGTCGTTACAACGTGATACCCTTCTTCAACTGCTTGTTTCGTGAACCGTGTATGATACGATGACCACCAACACCCCCACAGCTCATTGAGCAGTACGATGTCATAGTTCCTCACAAGCTCCATGAGCTTTTCTGAGCGGTCCTTCTTATGATCATTCCCATCAAACAACCACTTACCCGAGAATGTCATTCCGCCGGGAAGCAAACAGACATTAAGGGAGAGAATATTCACTTCACCACGAGGTTTTCCTGAAGAAGAGCAACCCGACAGCAAGTCGCTTGGAGGAATCAAGATTATCGGAGTTTTTGGTTTGGTTGCATGTTTGTAGACTAATAGAATCATAACCACAATGGACAATAGAAAGACATATTTGAGTGAGAAGTCTGGAATAACTGTACATGCACTCCACAACAGAGTAAGACCCAACAACATGCAAGCAGTCTGCATGCATCGTGTCAAGCTCCATCTGCCAAAACATCTGTACGTGACCGGATGCAATCCAGCATTTGAATGACCCGAATGGCCTTCCTCCAACAAGAGAGGCTCGCTCTCTGGTTCCACCTCTTGAGTCCCATCATTTCTCCCCAGTGAATTTCGATGAAAGTAAAGGACATCACGATTGGCCGAAATCACTTTTCGTCCAGCTTGTTCTGAATTGTCCATTATCCCACTTCCTGATAATTTATCCCCCATTTCTACCTTCACCATGAGTTTCTCACAATCGATGCCAGAAAGGGCCCTTCCCGGCTCCCCGACGAGCTCGCTCCCCGCACGAGGCGGTTCGCCGTGTGTGCTTTCCACTTTACCTCTACCAGGTCCAGCAGCATCTTGACCTGAAAGTTTTGATTCTTCGCTCCTCCCCATTTTTCCACCATCTTCCCCTCCTGCTCCAGCTCCTCTTCTTTGCCATCCCACACCAACGGCAACCTCAGCCCACAACTCCATAGTTCGCAATCCTTTCAGGTTCGACCACCCCTGTTTTCCTATGGGTATGACCCTCCCCCACAATTTTTCACCCGTTTTATGGGGAGAGGCATTTTTCATTTTTCGAATTTTGGGAATACATTGGAACTATGAAAATATCATTTTGATTAATCAGATTAATATTTCAAATTTTGATGATATATTTCAGCATTGTCATCCTTATGACTCTTTACTCTGACCCGACTCCGAGGGCTGCCGTAGGGATGTATCTCAAGTACCCCTCCGGCTGGCCGGCTGGGCCCGGGGGACTCGGCCCCGACTTCAGTACTCCCTCAAGTCAGGAGCTCCCGGCTTCCCGCCTGAATTTTTGCCACAAACTTTTTATGCCCTACCACAGCCTCAATGGCAAACCCAGTTTGCTGTCTCGGCATGCTCTTCTGTTCAGTTTAGCTTGCCATCACTTCATCATTCTGCCTTGAATGGGGGGAAGAATTGCAGCTCAAATCATTCTTGCAGTTCAATCATTTGCTACGTTCATTGAACCCCGAATTCATTGAGCTGTGCTGATGGTCATGTCAAGTAGGTGTTTTGTTTGTTTATTGATTTTCAGAATGTGATGGCTACAAGTCTAGGATGAGCGTTATAATGACGTTTGATGCTATTCTCATCACGCTGGAAAACAATCATGTCGACTTCAGCTAAGTTTTTTTTTCCTCAATAGGCCGGAATCTATTGTTGGGCGAAATCACGAAGGAAGGACAGATGCAGGAAAGTGAAGGTCGCCAATTAGTATTTGTTACATAATAATGCAAAAGTTGATTTTATCTCAGTTGAAAATGCCATACTTACGATTCTAGAGACAAACAATCGTCCATTCAACTGCAACAATTTGAGGGACGATCTCTGTTCTAGATTCAAAAAAAGCATCGTTGATAAAGCTTTAAAGGTTGCTGAGGATGATCTATATAGCCTATGTATTTGCTGACAACGAGAGTTTTGATGATTCAACTTGGCAGAATCTTGAAGACTCTGAGCGAATTCAAGTTAAAATTTTCGGTAAAGATCTTCCGTGCTTTTGTATCACATTGACTCAGATCCAAACAAGGAAAGGTCAAAATATATCTCGCTGATCAAAGGTCGCCAAGAATGCTCCATCATAATCATGAATGTTTTGTACAGAAAATTCCAAATTCCAAATGCTGATGAGCTGACGAAGCTGGATTCTGGTATCTTTGAAATTTCCATACTGGTGGGACGACCAAACTGCAAGGGACGCTGAGCTCTCGATTTGTAGACATTACGGATTTAGAAGCCAAGCAAGAAACTCTGCAAAAAGATTTACAAAGTCTGGTCAGCTCAAACGATCAGCTTGCAGCACAATTGTCAAATGAGGAGCTTGAAGTCCAAGTCAAGGATCTGAAGCGCAGCACCAAGTCGTTACACGAACAAATAGAAACGTGCAAAAACTCTGGGAAGAAAAGGGTATCTGTATCCGTATATGACAAGCGAAGCTTAGAAACAAGCCTGCAAGCAACAGCAAGCATGATGAAGAAACGCAAACGGTGAGCAAACATGAGACTATCTTGATGGAACCTGATTGTTGTAGACTTTGCATGAATGCGTTAAAGGAACTCGAAGCAGGAAGTGGAATGAAATTGGAAGAGCTTTATGACGTTGTCGGAATCGAAGAGGAAGAGACGCCGTAGTCTGTCAGTTCTACTGAATTGACAATAACAGCTTCCTCGAATTCTGATTTCGACATCGTGGAACCTAATTGATATCGTGTATGGGTTGCGTGTCTCAGTACAAGACAAGACAACTCGTGTTGAGGGGTCAGGAGGACACGGGCCTATTTCTGGAGTCCTTTGTCTTGTAGTGATGCCAGCATTGTTAGTAAACAACATGAGAATTTTCTGCCGCATTGAAGTATGTAGGCTGTGATGGCGTTTCAGAAATCTTCACACTGACGACGTAGCATGATCCATCGTTACAATACCCAAAGACAAAATGGTCCATGCATCGCGTTCTTGACATTGGTAAGGACAAGATCCCCTCGCTAGATGAAACACGTTAAAAGTTCCCAAAAAAATCTGGCAGAAGGCCCCAAACAAGTTTGGCATGCCATTCAAATTTCTTTATTGCTACGTCATTTACTCCTGTACGATGGTGGTACCAACGCCCTTGAATGTCTTAACCTGGAAACGCATAGAGTCAACTTCGGTCAAATGCGACAGATTTGATCAGAAGATCAGAAGCAAAAAAGACTGAAACATTGAATGAATCATTGAGAAAAATTACAAGCTAGCATTAAAAACTTTTTCAAAGCACACTCAACAATTCAGCCAATATTGCATCTTCTTACCTCCACAAGAGTGCAGAGAGAGTAAAGCTTTTCCTTGGCATCCTCATCGTCATTGCGCTTGCGGGCAATGCGAACGCGAACACGGTAAGGAACATTCTTAACACCCTTGCTCCACAAGAACTTGTTGAGCTTCTGGTCTACCCTGACGTCCGATGTACCCATAGCCTTGGTGGCGAATTTCTTGACTTCGCTAACAGCCCTTGGTGCTCTCCTCTTGAAGGTCCTGGATTGAACCTCGTCAGAAAGACTCTTCAAACTCGATCAATTTGCCATGTATTTTTCGATCAAGCTGTGACGCAATCGAAATAATGCATACAAGATGTCTTACAAAACAAACAGAACATCTCTGCCACTTCACGAGTTTGTGTCGATGGTACAATTCAAGAAAAACACAATGCATGATGAAACAAGCAAGCATCCCAACTTACATTCCAAGGAGACGCTTGTGGATGTTGATGGTGTACTCCCTGGTCACGATCTCATTGACGCGGGTACCCTTCTTCGACTCCTTCCCCATGGCGATAGCACGCGGACGATCGGCCAACGCGCACGAGCTGTGTTGACTGAAAATTATTTTTTTCTTGCCCCATCCCCGCGTTGGCCCCTGACTGAGATGTCCGGGCCCGGAGGCGGGTCGGCCCGCCGGGTCTCAAGACGCACGTACAGCACGTGCCTTTTAAAAGAAGTTGTAAATAACAAATATGTACAAACATATTCATTTTAAAAATTGATGGTACAGAGTGACTTGTTATCTGTACTATGATAGAACATCTGAATTTTATATTTCTTCTTCAAAATGCTTATATGAGTTTTAAACATTGGTTAAGATGAGGTGCGCCTAAAAATTGTTTATAGCGGTTGTTCATTTATCCATCTTTGCTCTAATTGTATTTTAAAGTTTTCCATTTTCTATAAATATTAAAATAATTTTGATGCCTGTGGTACTTGATTAGAAATTGTGTTTTATAGAGCCGCTGCATCTATGGCCCTCGTGCTATGCAGAGACCAAAGTGAAAGGAGGGCTGCAGGCTTCGCATGAAGGAAGAGGAAGGGAACGTCCGTGTTTGGGGCCACTAGAATGATCGTTCAGCGACTGCTCAGGGCCAAAGATGATGAAGGAACGGGGAGGGGGAAGTATCAAGAGTTTAGAAAATGGGGCGTACGACAGGACAGGACTCAGTTGCTTTTAGACAATGTCTTGGGTCATCAGGACGATACTGAAGTCTGACAAGATGTATCGTGAAGATATTGGACTAGATATGAGATCGAGTGTTGCGCATGTTGCAGCTGTTGACATGAGGTTTGCAGGCTCCGATCGGATGGAAGGGATGACAATCTAGGCACTTGGACTGTTACGATCCTTTCACCATGAGTGGAAAGCGGATAAGACTTTCGCAAGGATCGCGCGAAAAACTCCACTTGGCGTCTTTCTGGCCTTTAACATGTGCTAGCAAGTTGCAGGCATGTTTGCTTACACCAGGATGGCTCCAGCGACCATGTTCACGTCGGGAATATTCGGACGTTAGGAGGCACGATCCGATTGCTGCTTGCAGTTTGGGCAAGCAGATCAAAGGCGGACACTGTTTGATCACGTCGAGACTGTGTCAGCTCTCAAGGTTCAACTTGATTTCCAGATCTGCTCGGGTTTCAAGGAACCAGGCCGGAGGTGCGAGCGATCCAGGGCAGAGCGAAGGGAGCCCTTCCTCTGACCGAGATGAATCTCGAGTGATGAACAACCAACATGCAAGTGTTGATGAAATGCGCCCCTTCAGAAAGAGTGAGATTTATCCGCGAATCATCACCACTAGTAAGTTGTTGGGAGAGACAACTATATCTGTGGACAAACCAGCGTTGGTTCTGGTCTCTCTTATACATTCCATTCTGACCAAGTGGATTGAAGTGGAACAAACAATGCAATCAAGCGTGCAGGACCATAAAGAAAATGCAGATCCACGTGTTTTGATCAATTCAGCACGGTTGCATTCCAGATTCTTGGATCATAACGGTGGGATGCCAACAGGTAAATTGCTCTGTTTCAATTAGGACAAGACTTCTGACATGCTTTCGTGAAGATGCGTTCGATGATTCGACTTTATCGGGTCTCCGCGAGAAGTTCGAAGATAGCTTGCTTGTTCACAGAGGGAAACCAGGCTTGGAGATGCACATGCCCAACCCTTACACTGCGAATGAACTTCCACCCCAGTTCAAGAAGTATTCGAAAAACCCCCTGGCTATCATGCAAAATGTTGATGAAGATAGGCTTCCTCATTTTTTCGAAGTATTGGAGGAGAATATCAAGTCTAGCACATTGCAAGAAAATTCCTCGATCCACTCGGCTGTAAAAGCTTCAACCAAGTTGTCAAAAATTTTGGAAAACAAGGCGAAAATGATGTTAAAACATCCCCAGTGGGGAACTGCAGATTTTGCAAAACAAATTTTCCTGGAACAGAGGGGTTATGAGATTGGAATGTCAATATACAGGTAAGTGTAAATTTTTGTGAGATGCTACACTAGACTCTGTTGTGACCTTCTGGGCAGGAAAGGGCGAGCTGCAACGGAGATGAGAGGGAAAGGAGGCTCTATGTCAGCTGTTGAAAACCTCTTATTAACTTGGCTGGACGATGTTCAGTTGGCAGTACGACGCCACCAAGAGGCTTACGTTTCAAGAACTTTCAAACAGGGTGAATTCGTGCGATTTTTGATTGAGTCCCTTTGTTGTTCAGCTGTCGAAGATCCAGCCTTGAGTCCTTTCAAAGATGTTGAAATGTTCAACTACAATATGGAGCAATCAATCAGCAAAATCCAAACCCTGCATGAATCAGACGATGAGGGAATTGGATTGATTGGCCCAATTTTGATGAGTTTGCCAGCAAGTAAGATTGCTGTCATCACAATTCATGAACTCCTGTCTTCATTGCTTTCGGGAGGTGGACAAGTTCATTTTGTACGCGCTGCTAGAACCGTCGGAGAAGGAATTCAGGCCGAACTCGGCTTAGAGCACGTCAAGAAAGCTAAGAATCGATTTCTCCTCAGCTCTCGAAGGGTACCTGCCTTCTTTCTTCGTGCTAGGCATTTGACAATTTGTCTTGACAGCTGAGCGCTCTTTGTAAAGCGCACGATGTTCGCAAGTTAAACAAACTCCTCTCACGGTTGGAGAGCCAGCCGCTATGGGATGCGAGAATGCAAGTGAAGGTTGAATATGTTGGTTTGTGAAACGAAGTATTGATGCTCTCGACAGGTGGGCGCCAAACTCATTCAAATACTGATGAACAGTGCAAAGTACAAAGGTTCAGCTGCTGTCACGCATGTTGTGCAAGCACAAATGTCAAATAAAGGTATGAGGAAGAAGGGGTTCTTGGCCCTAGACCAGGAAATCTTGCAAGATTTGGAGAAACAACATGATTCTGTTGCTGCGCACAATCCGCTGCTTCTTCCTATGATCATCCGTCCGTTTCCATGGATGTCGTTTGATGTTGGCTGCTATATTCAAGCGCGGACAAAGGTTATGAGGATTGTTGACAAAGGATTGCAAGAAGAATCATGCCGCAATCATGATCTCTCTAGAATTTATGCTGCGCTCGACGTCCTTTCAGGTCTGTCGTGCTTGAATATTCATTGGTGGGGCTGAAGACAAGCAGGCACTGGCTGGTGCATTAATCGTCGTTTACTTAACGTCGTCCAACATGCATGGTTGGACGATATGATTTTGGGTGAGATTCCGCAGAAAGATGACTTCGCCGTAAGTTGTTTGGCTGTCTCGAATGCTTTCTGAGTGTGACATAGGTCCCTGAGCTGGATCCGGACTGCATTGATGCTGCCGAGTCCTACTCACAATACAGAGAAAAGAAGAGGGTAGAGCAAAGAAACAAGGATCTACACTCCCTCCGCTGCTCTCTGATCAATCAGTTGCATGTTGCCACCACTATGTCAGATTTCAAGGAGTTCTTCTTCCCACACAATCTAGACTTCCGTGGGCGAGCGTATCCGATTCCGCCTCACTTGAACCACCTGGGAAGCGACATCTGCAGAGGGCTGCTCAAGTTTTCCAAGAAGAAGCCATTGGGAAAGAAAGGATTCTACTGGTTGAAAGTTCACTTGGCGAATTTATTTGGAGAAAACAAGATCAGCTACGATGATCGAGTCAAGTGGACAGAGGAGCGAATGAGTCAGATCCTTCACTCAGCTAAGAATCCTCTGGATAGTGCTTCAAGGAAGTTCTGGTTATCTGCAGATGATCCATGGCAGGCTCTTGCTACCAGCATGGAGATCCAGGAAGCCATCGAATCTGGAGACCCGTCAACCTACCTGAGCAATCTTCCAGTCCATCAAGACGGAAGTTGTAATGGATTACAGCATTATGCTGCGTTGGGATTGGACGAGATAGGAGGGGAGCAGGTTGAGATCTCGTTGGAATGTTGGTTACCCTGATCCCATGTTCTTAGGTCAATCTCGTACCTGGTGAGAAGCCTTCGGATCCTTACACGACGGTATGCTGATTGCTTGTGGATTGAAAGGTTTTGATGAAAGGACTGCAGGTTTGCAATCGCGTGCTGGAAGCGCTCGATATGGACTTGCGTGATCCTTCCTCTGCAGACCACGAGGTCTGTTGTGATCCTATCCGATCGTGTGGTTGACAGAATGCTTCGTTAAGGTGTCGAAGTTAGTAGACAAGAGGGTCTCGAGGAAAGTCGTGAAGCAGACCGTTATGACAACCGTTTACGGCGTGACTTTCATTGGAGCAAGAGAGCAAATCTACAACAGGCTGTATGAGGCTTATGGAATTCCTGGGACTAATGAGCTCCAAGAGAACGACCTCTATCGGTGCATGAAATTTCACTTGTTGCCCTTGCTTTCAGCTCTAACCCGAGCCCAGCGCTTCCATGTACCTGGCAAAGCTCACGCTAGCTAGTGTTGGAAACATCTTCGTCGGTGCCAGAAAGACGATGGAATGGCTCACGTCTGTCGCTAAGGTCCTTGTCCTAGAGTGGTCCCATTGGCCTTCTGATCTTCTTGGCAGATTGTTGCATCAACTGGCCAGCCTGTTCGCTGGACGACGCCTTTGGGTTTGCCCGTTGTCCAGGTGAGCTCTTGAGATGCCGGTGGGCAGAAGGACAGGCGATCTCACGCGTGTTCCAGCCTTACTACAAGGAGACCATGATGTCAGTGGAGACTGCTGTGCAGAACATTAGTCTGCTGAAGGTTGTGCTCTTGACCCCTTCTAATCCTCCTCCTGAGTGTTGTTCTGCAGTGTGATGAGAACGGACCCATCAACAAGGTTGACGTTGACTCTTTCATTGCCTACGTGTCTGACGTGTGCGGCAGTTGAAGCAGCGGACTGCATTCCCTCCCAACTTCGTCCACTCCCTCGACTCCACGCACCTCCTCATGACTGCGATCGAGTTCGATCGGTCTGACTGAGATCTCAAGCCGGGCCGGCGCTGACTCTGCTCCCTGCTGCAGGCGCGGGAAGACGTTTGCAGGTGTGCATGACAGTTTCTGGACGCATGCTTGCGACTACGAGGAGCTTGCGCTAGTGCTGAGAGAGCAGGTACCTTTCCCTCGCCTGTCCCCGGCCACTGATGATCTTTTGCAGTTTGTTCACCTGTACACCCAGCCCATCCTCAATGATCTCAAGAACAGTTTCGAGCGGGATTACCCCACCATCGGACGCTTGCCGGTACCTCTTGTGCTGGTCCTTGTACAAGGATCTGATCGAGCTTGCAGGACTTGCCCGAGAAAGGGAGACTGGATATCAACGTGGTGAAGCAAAGCCCGTACTTTTTCAGCTGATGTAGATGTTTTATTCTTTCTCAAACCACACCCCAATGAACTTGTATTGTTTTGACCTTTCCTGTGCTTTTGCCTCTTGCTCTTTACCTCAGCCTTGACACCACAACCAAATATCTGCCACATGCTGATCTCCCAGTGAGACCTCATTTTTCGCGATCCATCTCGATGACTTCTCAACAAGTTGTAATTCTTTTCAAACTCGATGACTTCTCAACAAGTTGTAATTCTTTTCAAACTCTCGTCTCCTGGCTTTTCTCCTTGCTGTTCGAACAGCCTTTCTCCCTCCATCTTTCAACTCTAAACCCACACTCACTCGTAGTGCATTGAACCGTATTGAAAAACTCAGAAACATTCTGCAATCACAATGACATCGTGGCCGAGCGGTTAAGGCGGCAGACTCGAAATCTGCTGGGGTCTCCCCGCGTGAGTTCGAATCTCACCGATGTCGTTTCTTTTTGACCGGCAACGTTGATCCTGATGCGGGCCCACAATAATATATTCAAGCAAGAATTTCAAGTTTCCGGATGTGATTTGCAGGCGATCCTCAGAATTTGAACCACTACGAGTGAACAGGCTTGTCTGCCATGATTGTTTACTTAACTTGATGGTATGAGGTGCCGTAGGAGTAAGCTCGGGCTGACAACAATTGACCATACGACCTCTTGTAACGGAAATCTGCAACGGTCGATCGTCAGCTTGTTTCCTAGTCAAAAATCAAGTTCATGGGGGCGGTGCCGGCGGTGATGAGGGGGAGGCAGGTAGAAGGGGAAGCGGCGGTGGAGGAGGAGAACATGCGCAGGAACCTGAGGATCCTCATCGATGACGAGGTCGTTCACGCTACGTACATGTGAGACCCTCTCGCTCTCTCGCTCTCTCGTTTGCCCGCGTCAGCCGGATGATTTTCTGCTCCGTCTGACGATGTTGCAATCAGCCCCGGGGAGAAGCTCAACTCGCCTTCGGTCAAAGCATCTCCCCTCCTCAGAGGATCAAAAAGGTGATAGAGCGCATCTTGCCTGCTCGCATCATGTCATGCCATGTTGCTCGCCAGCGTTCGTTTCAATCCGGTTGAGACAGAGATCATAATGAATTCGTTGCCCGCGCGCTATGATGCAAGGCAAGCAGATACCTTGTAGTGATGGTCGTGACATCCCAGCAGGTCTCCCTTTGGACTGCAGAAGAAGAACGAGCCAACGAGCTCCATGTCTCCACCATATCGCGAGAAAGAAGTGTCGAGCGGCCCTGAGCGAGCTCCCTTTGAGTTTTGTAGGATAGATGTATTCACAGGAAAAGACATTTTGTAAAATATGACATTGGGATAGCTTGCGCTCGCTTTCACCTGACGGGACTATAGTACATGCCGAGCCTGAGACGTTGCACGTCTCATCTGATCTCGAAAGCCTTCATGGAATATGCCGCGTTTGTGGGAAATTTCTACGAGAGTAGTCCGTCAAGACTGGACGGCAAGAGGGAGCTTGGGTACCTGGAATTGCTCGAATCCTTGTTTGGAGGAGTTCCACACGTAGATGTAAGATGAGACATCGAAAGCTCCGTTCCTGCTCAATACGTTGCACCAGTCAAGACGATCCCGCGAGGGACAGGAGAAGTCAAGGTCACCAGTGGTTGGAGATGAGGATGAAATCGCGAAGCTGAAGACATGAAAGATCAGAGATCAGAGTCAGATCAGCGCAGCGCTACCTCCTGCATTGATCCTCCCGGAATCCCCAGGGCCGAGAAATGCTCCACATTGATAGCGCCTGAAGGAGGAGGGCAACAGATTACAAGTCGAGTCAGTCAAGACCACTCGGGTTCACCGTAAGTCTCCACGTGCTGCAGGAAGTCGAACTTAGACGTAGTAGCGTTCCACCTGCATGCCCCGTCATCCCCTCGCTCCTTCCCTCCTGCCGCCTGTCACCGATGGATCGTCGAGTTGGCGACGTTGGACACGAAGGGGAAGCCAGCCATGAAGACGGCAGAGGCCAGGAAGACTTCCCCACTCGAGGTGGCGAACGGCTTGACTGAACGCACTTGACTGACCTGCAGCGCCAGGGCGTCAGGAGGCTTTGACGTCACGTCTTCACTCGCTACCTCGATGGATTGAATCAGTTCGAACTGTTGAGCCTGGGGGTTGAAGACGTAGACCTGTCATCAGTTTGACTAGCATGAAGAGTTTGACAAGCTCAGCTCGCCGAACCAGCACGGGAAGATTGCTGGACGTGGAGTCCTCGTATCTCCCCAGGACCAGATATCCTTTCCCGTTGAACTGCAAGCTTCATTCACCTCCTTGAATCCTACAACGAATCGTTTGAAATTTACCTCGTAGGTTTCGACTTTCCGTGCCGAAGTCGCCGAAATCGTGGTGACGAGCTGGAATTCTCCGCAGAGCCAGACGGGGAACCGGCACCTCTTGGTGTCTGTGTATGTCAACCACTTGTAGACTTGCTGGTTGACGTCGATGTAGTTGATGACAGCAAAGTAAGTGACGCCTGCATGCCCGGTCAGGGGCTTAGTGGGAAGAGAGGCAAAGGTGCTGATTGTTGTTGTTGTTGTTGTTGTTGTTGTTGATGATGAAGATGAAGATGAAGATGAAGATGAAGATGAATCAGGAAAAGAAGAAGATCAAGAAGGAGAAGAAGGAGAACACGTAAATGGTGATGATAACGTTGACGATAGACGACGACGACGACGACACTTACTTAGATTCCCCATGAAGCCGTAACTGAAAGAGTGAAGGTCTACAGTCCCAGTGCTCACGGTAAAAGTCGCGCCGGACAACTGGACCAGCTGCCCCTCGTTGGAGTTGAGGCGGTATACCGAGCTCGAGGAGGTTGCGACCGCAATGTAGGACTGACAGCACAGTGAGAGGAAACGGGAGGGAGGAGAAGATCATACCTCTCCGTCTGAATAGAAGGGCTCAGCCAAGGTGTAGCCCGTGTTGTTCCAGGTGAGCACCAGCTCGAGACTAGCCCTGCTCAGCTCGTTCCTCTCTAGCATCGGAGGAGAGAAGACGAAGCGGTAGAAGCGGAACTGATAGCCCCAGAACACAAGGAAGTGCTGGTCGTTCCGCTTCACGTAGGACACACCCAGCAAGTTTCCTCCCACGTTGTCGCGGATCAGCTTGTTTGCCGCCGTGACCTCGAACTGTCCTCCTCCTGTGAAGTTCCACGGGTACACGTTTGACGGGCTGCTGTCGAGTAGCTGGACCAGCCCCAAGAAGATCCCGCGGACGCAGTTTGACTGTGAGGAGAAGAAAGTTCAGCTGACTCAGAGCAGTGAGCTCCGGCGTCCTCACCTCGTTGGTGCTGGCAGGTGGAGAGGAGACCGCGTAGGTACCGCTGCAGACCTTGCACGAGTCCGTGCTGACGGCTGGCGAGACTTGCGCGTACGTTCCAGCTGGGCAAGATAGGCAGGAGCTCAAGCCTGTCGAAGCTGGATGATCTGCCAGCACGAGGGCGTGTCAAGGCGGAGGAGGAGGAGGAGGAGGAGGAGGAGGAGGAGGAGGAGTCAAACCTTTGAAGAACCCTGTCGGACAAGGCGCACATGGCGGGGAGGCATCGTTGTTGGCGCTATAGTACCCACGAGCGCAGAGGCAGTCCTGCACAGTGCCGGACTGAGGAACGTCTGCCAGCTCCGACCCGAAGGGACATTCCTGGCAGGTGTCGTTGCCAGCCGTTGACCACATGCCAGTCGGACATCTCGCCATTGCGGCATGTCCTCCCTTGCAAAAGTAGCCGGGGAGGCAACGCTCGCACGTCAGCTGCCCCTGGTCCAGCCCCACCGCATAGTAACCGGGCTCACAGTAGCAGTCTTGGATGGAGGAGGAGGCCGTCAGATAGGTGAAGGACTTCGGCGGGCATGCGACGCAGGAGCCGATGCCGGGGTTAGCCTTGTAGTAGTTGATCTTGCATGCCGTGCAGGGCAGCCCTGTGGCAGGGTCGCCGACGTAGCCGGGTGTGCAGTAGCAGTCCTGGAGCTTCTTGCTGCCTATGGGGCTCAAGGCGTTGGCAGGGCAGAGCTTGCACTCGAACTGACCCGTCTGATCGACGTAACTCCCTGCATCGCACTGAAACCTTTTGTTCTGCGGGCCTCCGGGGCATCGGAACCCGAGCTCGCAGTCGATGCAGGTGTCACAGGAGCCTCCGACGTAGCGTCCTGGGGAGCAGCTGGTGGTCGACTGTGTCTGGCACAGCACACAAGAGTCTGCCGAGCTCGCCGAGCCGCCAGTGCAGATCCACCCGTTCTCCACTGTACACTGGCTGCTGCATCCTGGACTCTGACCCCCGTCGTCGCACTCTTCGTCGTTGTTCACCAGCCCGTCTCCGCAGATGGCGATGGAGTAGACGCCCGTCGCGTCTTGACTGTAAACGGAGAAGTTGAGGAGCTCGTAGGAGAGATCCACTGAGGCAACGGCTCGGAGGCTGTGGATGCCACCTGCGACAGGAGTCAGCACGACGTCTCGTCTCCTCCTCACCTCTCTACCTCTCAGCTGGATGTTTCCGTTGAGCAAGGCACCGGACACCGACGGGTCGCTCTGGTCTGTCGTGTACCAGACCCTCGCAGTTTTGGGAGTCGACGAGACGTTGACAAGCAAGAAACCGTTCTTACTCAGGTCAAACTTGCCGGGAGCGGGTGAGAACGTTGGTTGCTTCACCTCCTGCACACACACAGATGTTCCGATTATCACAGAGGCCGCCGGGATGTTGATCGTGATCCCATAGAACGTCTTCTGCCCTCCGACGCTGCACGACCAGCCCTTCTCCACCTTGCAGGAGCCGTCGCACCCGTCGTTCCCCACTAGGTTCCCATCATCACATTGCTCGTCCGCTGTCCGATTGCCATCCCCGCACACTGTGACGCATCTGTCCGGCTTGAGATTGTCCCCTCCGCTACACCTCCATCCCTTCTCAACCCGGCAGGACGACGAGCACCCGTCCCCGCTCTTGGTGTTCCCGTCGTCACATCCCTCCGCCACGTTCTTACTTCCGTCCCCGCACACTGCTGGGATGGTGATAGTGATGAGCCCGATGAGGTCCGTCTGCACGTTGGAGAAGCCCTCCTTGTCCAGGTTGGACCCCAAGGACGAGGCGAAGGCTCTGCAGTAGGGTAAGTTGACGGAGAGAGACAGCAAGGGAGCGAGAAGGGCAGACAGAGAAGCATGTCAGGCAGAGAGACAGGTCAGGAAGCAAACATACCCTGGAATCGCATCCCGGATACTGATTGCATTTTCCTTGCTCTTGCAAGCAACCTTGGCAGTCACAGCGACCGACGGTTGTATCTGCAAGATCCTACGAACCTGGGAGGCGCCGTAGAGAGTGATGCTGACAACGATGACATCTCCTGGCTCTAGAGCAAACTGAGACAGACATGCAGCTACGGCTCGCTGAAATCTCGGCTCCGGCAGGTCCCCTGGCGCGCTGATCCCCTTCAGTCTCACCATGAACTGAACTGTCGGGCTGAGGGAGCTGGCTGCGGTGCTGGTGGGTCCGATGATGCTGTCGTTGATTGTCTGGGAGGAGCTCAATCTGACCCCGAAGAGAATACCAAGGACGATCGCTGCGATCGCACAGACGGCAAACAGCCCAGCGAGCAGGTAGTACTTCTTGCGGCTCGAACGAGCCTTGCCGCTGTCCGAGGTGGAGGACGAGCTTTCCAAGTCCAGGTACGCAGTCTTTGAGCGGAGAGGAGGAGGGAGGTTGTACTTGAGAGGTGACTCGACCATGTTGGCTTGGGTAGCATTGGCCTTCGCCTTTTGATTGTTCTCAGCCTGCAGCTTTAGTCGAATCTCTTCCTCTTCCTCTCGCTTCTGCTTTGCGATCTGATACTGCTGCTGCAGGTCGGCTGCATGCTCGACCTCTAGAGCCGTGACTTTCGCCTCATGCTGGGCCCTGAGGGCTTCAATCTTCAGCTGGGCTTTGTTCGCCACGTGCACAACATCTAGGTTGTACTTGTCTCTGGTGAAGTCCTGCTTGCACAGTGAGGTTGTACCTCTTGCTCAGCTTCCTCAACACTCACCCGCTTTCTCTCCCGGGTCTCCTCGGCCTCCAGCAACTTTGCCCTGTATGATCCTGGCCTCGGGGCTGAATCACCATTTGGTTCCATGGAGTTAGTGCAGCTGTCTGGATTTTGATTCAGAACCCGTGGCCGATCTATATCTTCTGCCCAGATATCACAGGCTGACGAGACATTTCCTGCAATGAAGACGAACATGAGTTATAGCAAGAACCAAGTTGAAGCTGACAGGTTTGTATATGCTGTTCATGGCTGATTTCATGGCTACACACTCCTCTGAGTATTCTGAATATCCCCCCTCTCCGTCCAGTGACCTTGCACCTCAGTGTAAATAGCCGTTCTCACTGATCAACTGTTTCTTTCTCAGACCTGAGTGTCCAAGAGAAGTTTGCTTCAGCACTAGATCAAGAACAACCAGTGTCTACGCAGATGAATCCCTGTTCTCTCACCACTTCTCGTAGCCTCGCCTTCTCAGAGGCAGCATACATCACATCGTGATGTCCTTTTAAGTTCTTCGCACTATCTCTAGTACCTTCTCCCTCTCTCCTCCTCTCTCCTCCTCTCTCCTCCTCTCTCCTCCTCTCTCCTCTTCTTTCCCTTCTTCCCCCCGCCCCCACCGCCTCTTGTCTGTGACATTTCGCCTGTAGAATCCCGCATCACCCTACCCCCATCTATCTTAGTTTTGTCCTCTTCTTGAGAGGATTCCCCGAGCCTACCCCTACTATTCAACTCCAGGACTTGTACATATGGACCCCTACTTTATCACCCCCTACCCCCTGCATTGTCATCACTACCCCCTCCTTGACGCTTCGCACGACGAGTCATTCTTTTTTACTTGAAAGCTCTGAGGCGAGTAGAGTGACACAGGCTGCCAGTGCCATAAGGGCCTTCTCCGACGGCCCGCGCCCCCGGGCCCCCGATCCGGTTGAACTTCGGAACGGCAGTGTCACTGTCACCGTGGCACGGCTGCCGCAGCGCTGGATGGTCTCTCGGCCTCGCAGGACGTCTCAGGTCAGGGACGGCGGCATCGTTGGCATGGCGCGACGCGGGGCGGTTTGGTTCTCGCTGTCTTTTCTCTTCTCCTCTTAGCCTTACCATCAAACGTGTGCTCCCGGGCAAGCGATCCGAATGCATAATGCCATGGCCGGGCCCGGGCCGCGGCCCGGGCCCCGCCAGAGGAGTCCGGCAGGCCGGGCTGTCACTGGTCAACCGTCACAGCGTTCATATCATATAAAGAATTCCTCAAATAATATTTCCAATAGCATATTACGTTTCCAAGTTTATTGTAATTTTCAAATTTCATGGAAAATATTCCGGATGTTCAAAACTGATCCAAATATTCCGGGGTGGGGTGGATGATGGGTGTAAGAGGGGCGCCGCAATGAGGATTCTCGTAGTCGCAACGATCTTGGCGGCATGGCCGTGCGAGGCGATTGAGCTCTCCTCCTCCTCCCTCTCCTCCTCCCATGCACGTTCTGCTCCCTCCTCCTCCTCCTCCTCCTCCTCCTCTCTGTCTTCGTCCACGCCATTCCCTCGCTCTACATCCATGCTCCTCGATCAGTTTCATTCCCAGCCATTCCAACTGTCCAAACTTCCGCAGACTTTGTCCGCGTCCTCACCCCAGCCTTGTCACCTGATGCTACGAGGAGGAGGATTTTTGGGGTTGGGGAAGAAAAAGTCTACTCCCTCCCCCCCTGAACGATCTGCGAGTGAAATCTCCAATGAGAAGCTTCGCCTGCAGATGGGAGCCCTCGGCTCGGCCTCGGTCTTGTACGGCTTCTTTGCTGTCAGCACCAGCGATCTCATGAAACGAACCATCTTCGGGCTCCAGTCATGGCAGCTCATGATCAGCGGAGGATACGGTGCGATGCTCTAGGTCCCTCGTGCGTGGCCGCCCCGTTGACTCCCTGCTTTACAGCTCTCTTCTTCTGCGCAAACCTGATCCCCGGCCGCCTCGACACTGTGCTGGGGAGGCCCAAGAGGACGGACTTGCGCTTCTTCACGCCTGCTGGGTTCGCGTTCGCCATCTGGGCTCCGATCTTCCTCGGGGAGATGCTCATGATGTTCTCCGTGCTCATGCCGGGTGAGGGAAGACGCTGCTGCGGGTGGTGGCGATGAACCGTCCAGCCCCACCTCCTCCGCCACTCCCCTTTCTCCTCCCTCTCTTCTCCTCCCTCTCTCCTCCTCCGTCCTCTCGCCGTCTCCTTCCTATCTCTTTCTTCCTCTCTCCGTCCTTAGCGCCAACCTTGTGTCGTCGAAGCTGTCTATCCCCGATTGCTCGCCTCCTTCTCAACTCTTTTGCTCTCGCGCTCATCTTTTCGCTTCAGATTCTCTTCGCTCTCCTGGCTCGGGTTGGCTCGAGGCGATGGCCCCGTCCTATGCAGCTGCTTCTGTCGCACAGGTAGGAGAGGAGGGGAAGGGGGAAACTTTGAGGATGGGAGGGAAGGTGGTGGAGGGGAGGAGAAGCTGTTTGACAACAAGAACTGCAGGCGCTATGGTGCCTTGCATTCCGACCATGGGCGTTGAAGTATCAGTGGGTGAGAAGAATTACTTGACCTGATAGTCTGTTGCTTCCTTTACCTCAGTGTTACTCCTCCTCGACTTCGTGTTCATCCTTTCTTCTGTTCAATCTACCAAACGTTCTTCTCCTCACCCGTTCTGTCGCAGATTCCCGCATCTCTCCTCACCATCGCTGCACGTGAGTGACTGGCAGCAGCGGCGACGTTGAAACTCACGATGTGCCAGTTGCTCTGTTCGAGTCTCACAGACATGTCGCGTCTTCCTACTCCATGTCTGGTGCAGGTGATATTCCATCGCAGCACGAGGGGAGGGGGAGGGAGAGGGAGAGGGAGAGGGAGAGGGAGAGGGAGAGGGAGAGGGAGAGGGAGGGAGGGAAAGAAGAGAGGAGGGGAAGCAGGAGGCGGAGTGGGGGGAAGCACTCAACGAATTTCTCATTATATTGCAGCTTCCCTCTGGAGCTTGTTTGCCTGCAGGATCCCTGTCGCCCTCCATTTCGGGTGGATCACTGCGGCTGCGGCTCTGAGCTGGAATGGACAGGTGATCCCACATATGATTCTACATATGATCCCACGTATGATTCTACATATGATCCCACATATGATTCTACATATGATCCCACATATGATTCTACATATGATCCCACATATGATTCTACATATGATCCCACATATGATTCTACATATGATCCCACATATGATTCTACATATGATCCCACATATGGCTTACCACCCCCCCCACCCTCACTTGCCCCTGCCCCTGCCCCTGCCCTTGCTCCTTCCCCTCCTGTGTCTCCTCCTCCTCCTCCACCCTACCAGGTCATTCGGAACCTTGAAGTCTTGTCTTGCCTTGCCTTCTCCTCTGATCAGCTGAACTTCTTCTCAGCTTGCCTCCATGGGCTCGAGCATTCCCATCCGCATCACTAGCGCAACGCTCTCATGCTATGCAGCAGCAGCGTTTCTGGGGTACCTTCCTGCTCCTTCTCCTGCTTCTTTCTCTTCCTCCTCCTCCTCCTCCTCCTCCTCCTCCTCTACTGCTGCTATTGCTGCTTCTTCCCCCCCCGTTCCCATCCCTTCTTCTTTCACGATTCCCTGTCCCCAATCCCCGGTCTTCCCCTCTCTCTTCCTGCTCTAATCCTCCTCGTTTCTTCTTTCCGGCATCACTCCAACCTTGTCTTGTTGATCGTTTGCATGTCAGTGTGACTTCCATCGTTCGTGGGGATGGCTGGCCTGCCGCGACAGCAGCGTGGGCGCTGTATGCAGTCAGCAAGGTGAACTGCTGTTCCTCTTGCTTCTCCTCGTCCTCCTCCCCCTCAGACTTCTCCCATCCCCTCGCGTATCCTTTCCCTCGACATGCTCTCTCCCTCCTCCCCTCCTCCTTCATCACCCACCTTCCTTCTCCTCCACCTCCTCACTCTCCTCAGGGCCACGAGGTTCTCCGAGGTGCAGTGGACAACGCAGCTATCGATGCTCTGAACCTCGCAGCTCTTCTCTCCTCCTCCGCCTCGCTCGCCATGGTGACCAGCTCGCGTCCTCTTCCCCCCTCATCCTCATGCAGGCTGTTTTCACCTGGGCCATCCCCTTCTTCTCCTCCGGCAAGACCTGCGCCTGCGCCTGTGTTTGAGCTCCTGCGTCCTCCCCCCTTCCATCCTCTCCCCCCCCCTCCCTCTTTCTCTTCACTTCCCTTCTTCCCGCCTGCTCGTCATGGTGTGGCGGGTCAGCAGAGGAAGGGAGCGGACGAGCACGCGACAGGAAGTTGTATCAGTGAATGGTAGTCGTCTTTGATTTCACATAAAACATTCCTCCTCTGCCTCCTCCTCAGATCTACTCAGACCGGCTCCATCTGCCTCCTCCTCAGTTCCACAGAGCTGACTTTGTGCGCAAACCGCAGGGAGTTGATGCTCTCCTGCTCCAAGGTGAGAAATAAGGACAGGGAAGGGGAATAGAAGGAAGAGGGGAAGGAGGAGGCGGAGCAGAAGAGATGATGGTGGGGAAGGAGCAGGAGGAGGAGGAGGTGAAGGTGATGGTGGTGAGGAACGAGGAGGAGGAGGAAGAGGAGAGGATTACAGGGAGATGAGCCTTGACAGGTGAGATGTTGACAAACATAAGGCACTTGCAGTCTCCCCCCAGACACCTAACAACAAGTGAACATAGAAGTTCTGCATCTCCTCCTCCTCCTCCTCGTCCTCGTCCTCCTGCTCGTTGCCCACCACCATCTTTTCCTCTCGTCCTCGTCCTCGTCCTCCCTTCCATCCTTCACTTACGGTTGCAGCAGGTAGGTCAGCTTGCTGTTGCGGAAGGGAACGTGTCCTTCGCGATTAGCGAGAGCTGCAAGAAGACGATCAGAGAGCGAGGAGGAAGAGGAGGGAGAGGAAGAGGAGGGAGAGGAAGAGGAGGGAGAGGGAGAGGAGGGAGAGGGAGAGGAGGGAGAGGAAGAGGAAGAGGAGGGAGAGGAGGAGGGAGAGGAGGAAGGAGAGGTTGGTGGAAGGAGAGGAGGAAGGAGAGGCGGAGGGGGCGGTACCGAGCAAGGAGGAAGCGAGTAAGGGAGGGAGGGAGTAGCAGTGGGGAGACACAAGGAGGAGAAAGGAGAGCGCAGCAAGGAGGAAGGGAGGAAGAAGGGGGGGGGGGGACAAGGAGGAGAATGTTTAGAGGGTGAGGAGTGGAGAAGGAGGGGTAGAGCCACCGGAGATGACATCGCAGAGGCTGCTCAGGCTCTTGTTGATCGACTGCGTCTCCCTCAGCCGCTCTCCCTTGTCGTTGGTTCGGTCTCCTGCTGCACGTCAGATGTTACTGGAGAGATCGAGAGGGAAGGAGGGAGAAGGAGGAAGGAGGAGGAGGAGGAGGAGGAGGAGGAGGAGGAGGGGAAGAAGGAGTAGATGGAAGGGGAGGGGCGAAGGAGGGGAGGAAGAACTCTACCTTGATCGCTTGTTCCACTTCCTGCCTTTGCCAGCCTCTCCGAGCCCGCAAGGTCGATGAGGTTGAGGACTCCGTAGACCACCTGGCGAGGAACAGGATGAGAGGAGCAGGATGAGAGGAGCAGGACGAGGAAGGGAGAGAAAAGTTGAAGAGGATGGAGAATGAGGAAGGGTGAGGAGATGGAGAAAGCGGAAAGGTATCGAGTAGAAACGGATGGGGAGAATGGTGGGCGCCGCTCCAGTAGAAGAAGCTAGGAAGAGAGAGGGGGGAGGCACGAGGAGGAGAAAGGAGGAGGAGGAAGAAGGGAGAGACGCAGTGAGGAGGGACGCAGTGAGGAGGGACGCAGGACCTCCTGGGTGACGGGGTGAATGCCCTTGATGTTCATGGTGAAGACGGAGTGAGATCTCGAGCTGCCTTCGTTGTGCTGCGTAGCTGCTGTGGCGCGAGCTTCCGTTGCCTGGAGGAGAACGAGGAGGAGGAAGGGGAGGAGGAAGAAGGGGAGAGGAGAGGAAGCCATGTGAGAGAAGGTTGAAAAGGAAAATGGTGAAGATTGTGGCAGGTGAAGAGAAAGGTGAAGATGGGGAGAGGAGGGGAAGAGAAGCGGAAGAAGTGAGGAGGGTGAGGGAAGGAATATTCAAGAAGCCCAAGAGCAGAAGGGGAGGAGGCAGAAGGGAGGAAGGGGAGGGAAGCATTCCAGGATCCCCTTGTAACGAGGAGGAAGGGAGGAACAAAAACAGAAACTCCTGTCTCACCCTTCGCAGCAGCTCAATGACATCCGCCTCCTGCTCAACTTGCATGATCTGCAAGTTTGTGACCTGCGCTTGTCTCCCATGATCCACATGTTTGATCTCAAGCTTCCGATGCTCCTGCAAGAAACGATAGTAAGATCCCTGCCGCGCCTCCTCCTCCTCCTCCTCCTCCTCCCTCGCTCTTCATCACCTGCCCAGGGCTCGCCAGCAGGTCTCGCAGGGCCTCATTGTAGATCTCGAGGAAGCTGACTGACATCTCGTAGCTCCATCCCCCCTCCCTGAGGCCGTTGACCTGCCAAGCCTTGCCGTTAGATGGCGAACTCGAGCTGCACTTGAGGTGATAAGCAGGGAAGGAGAGTAGTGGTGGTGGAGGGGGAGGAGGAGGAGGAAGAGGAGGAGGAGGAAGAGGAGGAGGAGGAAGAGGAGGAGGAGGAAGAGGAGGAGGAGGAAGAGGAGTGAGCAGGAGAAGAAGAGTAGTGAGGAGGAGGAGGAGTAGAAGTCAGGATGAGTAGAATTGAGGAGGAGGGAGATTGTGATGACGACGACGAAGGGAATGCAGAACAAGGAGTTAGGAGCGAGAAAGAGGCAGCGGTGGAAGAGACCTCCTGGAAGATCATCTCAACGGCTCGAGGTATGACGCCTCTCCCCTTCGTGTCATCGAGATCTGCCACCCTCTCCCCTCCTCCTCCCTCTCGCGCTGGTCCCGTCATGGTGTACGTCTTCCCGCTTCCTGCGCGTTGAGAGTTCAAACACTGTAAAGAGGAGGAAGAGAAATTCAAGAGAGGAAGGGAGGAGGAGGAAGGAGGAGGAGGAGGTGGAAGGGAGGAGGAAGGGAGGAGGAGGAGGAGGAGGAGGAGGAGGAGGAGAAGGAGGAGGAGGAGGAGGAGGAGGAGGAGGA